CTCTCTCTCTCCTCCCCACCCCCCTCTAGTTTTCTCCACTGTACTTCTACACTGGCACAATTTCAGCCATGCAGCTCCAACTTCAGATGTCCTTACAAGTCCTGCTTGTCTGAGTCATATTAGCAAATTCATAAGAATGTGACTCGCTCAGACCAACCCTGGAGTCAGATGTCTTTAGTCGTGTCTAAGGAAAGGTAGGTGCATTGGTGTAAGACCACCGCAGGAGAGTCAGCAGCTAGAGCTCAGGAACGGTGAACGGGCTGAGCAGACATCCCAAAGGCGTTTTCCTCAAGCAGATGAGGAGAAACATCTGTGGCTGTGAGAAGGTGGGGGAGAGCTCCTCGTGTGTTATCTTTAAAGCAAGACCCTCAGCCCTGCCAGGGAGCGGGGTTTTCCCCGAAACCATGGCAGTCTCCGTGACCCCAGTTCTTCCTTCCTGGCAGGAGACTCTTGTGTGTGCACACCACCTGCCCCTGCGGAATTAAATCATTCCCATGGCTGGGCTGTGATGGGAAGATTGATGCCTGGGAGTCTGGCCGACAGGTGAGTGATGGACAAGGCTGAATTAAGGAGCAAAGGCTGTTCTGACTGGACTGTTTGAACTTGTTTCTTAATCATTCACATGAATTAGTTTTATCATTTCAAGCATTTAATGCTGATTGGGACAGGAGTAAAGTGCAATCATGTCACTAATAAATGAGAAGAGCAGGAGAGGAATCCAGGACTGCTAACACCCAAAGAATCAGAGGGGCAGGAGAGACGGCTCAGAAGTTAAGAGCGTGTACCTCTTCCAGAGGACCCACCCACCCATGTCAGGAAGCTTGCAACGCCTGCAACTCCTCAAGGTCCCCCATCATCCTCCCGAGTGCTGGAACAACAGGTGTGCACCACCATGTTCCGCTGAAATAATCCCTTAAATACAGTTCCTCTTGAAGACAGAAGCTCCTCATTACCTTATAGAATCACATCATCTTTTTTTTCTGATGCTGGGAAGTAAACCCAAGTCCTCGTGCACGCTAACAAGTGAACTGTCACCAGGCTGCATCTCCAACCTCCTGCTCTAACTTGTTTCTTCTTCCTTCTCCCCCTCCTCTTCCTCCTCCTTCTCCTCCTCTCTCTCTCTCTGCTGAATGTTAAACCCAAGACCTTTCCCAGACCCTCATACTGTCATGCTCAGCTCCTTTTTTAAAAATTCATCTTTGATGTTTCAGATTATGTTCAGAAAGGCCTTCCCAGGGTTGGCAACATGGTAGTATGCTTATGTGAGGCCCTGGGTTTGAATCCTAGCACCATCTCCCACCCAGAAAAAAATAGAAAGAAATTCCTCTCCCCTTGAATTCAAAACTATTTACCCAAACTCTCTTCAAAGCAGTTACACGAGTCTGAGGTTTGAGATTTTATCATTATGTATATGAGCTTTAACACAAACTGAAAAATATCTTTTTCCTTTATTTCTTTTTTGTTTATTTGTTTTGGCTTTGTTTGTGTCTAAATTAGTCATTTTCTCCCAATCCATTTACTGAATAGCCCCATGTTTCCTAGCTGGCATAAAAAATGCTCCCTATGGCACACTGTTTCTAAAATCCAGCCCCACTGAGCAATGTGTCCACCGCAGACCCATGCAGCCGTCCGATGGATTCTTCTTGTGAAAGGGCACGGGCACTTGGCAGGGATGAGGCTGCCTCACACACTTTCGTAAAGTCATGTTTATCTGGAGAGGAACATGGTTTATATAAGACTGTCTTCCTGCACACGGCGTTTTGCTGTGCCCTCCACCAACCCTGAGGCAAAGAACAGCCCTTGCTCCTGTCACAGAAGAGCAAATCTGCCCCACAAGCGTCACTAAACATCACTGACTTTCAGAACTCACCCGGAGACAAAGGAAATGCGTACAGCATACGCCGCAGCGGAAAACGCTGAACAGACATTTGTGTTCTCCTTCAGAGCCATCCTTGGAAAACAGCCATCGGTCCTTCTCCTCCTCTCTCTCCTCTCCCTCAGTAACCTCTCAAGTCTCCTCCATTGCCGAAAAATCCAGGTAGCTACAAATTTACAAATGTGATTCGGAAACTCAAACGTCCTATTACAAATGAAATCTTTGTTAGAATTTATTAATTGTTACTTGAATACCCTAGAAGGAGACAGACAGACAGACAGACACACACACACACACACACACACACACACACACACACACACACACTGAACAGAAGGAAACACTTGAGGAAGACATCCTGGTGTCAACCTCTGGTCCTACACCTGCCTACGTGGATAGGCACATCTGCCACAAGTGTGTGCATACACACACACACACACACACACACACACACACAAATGCACTCATGCATTCACAAAAACCACCAAAGAACTCAAAAAATAGTAAGGAGGAACCTGGAGAGATGGCATTGGATGGCAAGGTATGTTTCTAGCACCCACACGATGGCTCCCAGTCTTCTATAACTTCAGTTCCAGGGGATCTCACATCCTCTAATGGCCTCCCAGGGCACCAGGTATGCACATGGGACACACGTATACACACAGGCAAAACAACTCATACACATTAAAAAATAAAAATAAATTAGCAGACTGGACATGATGGAGCACACCATTAATCCTGGAGCTTAGGAGGCAGAGGCAAGTAGATCTCTATGAGTTTGAGCCAATTTGGTCTACATAGAGAGTGTCAGGCCAACAAAAGCTACATGAAGTGAGACCCTGTCTCAAAAAGTAATTTTTTTTCTAAAAAAGATAGTATGGGAAAACTAGGTCAATCATCTGAAGAGCGGGTGCCCAGATGGGTGAACCAATCAGTTCAGCACAGGAAGTGCAAATGAGGCTGCCTGGGAGCAGCATCCGCAGCAGCAGAGTCAATTGTTTGACATGAGGCTAGGCGCTTAATACATACTCTACTAAAACAGAAAAATACAAGAAAATTAAGGATTAAAACAGAGGACTTCAAAATGCCATTACTTAGAAGGAATGTGACTGACCACTTACCTACTTAAGCCAACAAAATCAATAAACAATTAAAAATAATGAAAGAGCCACACAAGGATATTGGATTGAAAAATCAAATAATCAAAACAGCAGTAGCAATAAGTTAGAAACTACTGTCTAGAAACATAGTTTTGAAAATTAAGATGCTACTCAGAGCAGCACCCAAAGCTCAATGCTATTAAGGCAATCAAGGATACTCAAGCCATCCAGAGAGAAAAAAAAAACTTTAAGATTCTTTTATACTCTTTGCAGTGGCTTACTCCTCAAATTAATTTATAGAAATTTAATGTGCTATCATCAGAATTTTACCTGGGATTATTTTTAGGAACTCTGAAACTTTTACACTAAAATTTAAAGTTTGCATTGAAGAATAAGGAACCAAGATCATGGAGTCAATTTTGAGCAAAAAAGTAAAAAAAGCAGCCAGGTGTCCAGGTGCTGTGGTTTTTATGCTCCCTATCCTACAACTTGGGGGATGGGAGATGGGGAAGAGGGGCTGAGTCTCAAGACCAGGCAGGGCCACAGTAAATTCAAGGCCATCCTGGGCTATTCCTTGTCTCAACAAAGCTAAACAAATAATTAGTTAGTTAGTTAGTTAGTTAGTTAGTTAAAAGACAATATTAAAGGTTTACTTTTATTATTTTTAATTATGTATATGTGTATGTCTATGTGTGGGGGTCTGAGTGTAAGTGCAGAGGAGCCCATAGAGGCCAGAGATGATGGATCCCCTGGAACTTTATCAGGTTGTGAGCCACCTGATACAGTTGCTGAGAACCAAACTTAGGTCCTCTGGAAAAGCAGTAAGAGCTCTTACTACAGAGCTATCTCTCCAGTCCCAACCCTGCTGTCTTTTAAGAGATGGGCTAAAACTAGAGGTCTAGCCCAGTGGATATAGGTCAGTGTCTAGCATATCTGAAGTCCTGACTTCAATATCCAGTGGAGAGAGAGAGAGAGAGAGAGAGAGAGAGAGAGAGAGAGAGAGAGAGAGAATTCAAAATTTCTATAGCCGGGTGGTGGTGGCGCATGTCTTTAATCCCAGCACTTGGGAGACAGAGGCAGGTGGATCTCTGTGAGTTTGAGGCCAGCCTGGTTTACATGATGAGTTCCAGGACAACAAGGGATACATAGAGAGATGCTCTCTCAAAATAATTAAATTAATAAAAGTATTACTGATTCAGATGTCTATAATAATCTGGGTCCTAACAAGGTCTCTAGGACTCTCTGTATGACTCATTGCCCCAACCTCCAACACTTTGTGTAAACTCTATCATAATCATCAGCTGTAGAAACTTAACAATACAGGGCTGGAGAGAGAGCTCAGTACTTAAGAACACTGGTTGCTCTTTTAGAGGACCAGGGTTTGTGGTATTGTATTCCCCCAAATATTGTGCATGCTAAGAAACTTATCTGGGGTCAGAGACAGAGCAGCCACAATATTAAGCATAAAGGATAGGCAGTGGTAGCACACGCCTTTAATCCTAGCATTCCAGAGGCAGAAATCCATGTGTTCAAGGATACAGACAGGCATGGTGACTCATCTCGCCTTTAATCCCAGAAAGCGAGCCTTTAATCCCAGGGAGTGGTGGTAGAAAGCAGAAAGGTGTATAAGGCGTGAGGACCAGAAACTAGAAGCATTTGGCTGGTTAAGCTTTCAGGTTTTCGAGCAGCAGTTCAGCTGAGACCCATTAGGATATGAGAACACAGAAGCATCCAGTCTGAGGAAACAAGACCAGCTGAGGATCCGGCAAGGTGAGATAGCTGTGGCTTGTTCTGGCTCTCTGATCTACCAGCATTGACCCCAATAACTGGCCTCAGGTTTGATTTTATTAATAAGAACTTTTAAGATTCATGCTACAAGGGTTTCATTCCCAACTCACAACTACCTGTAAGTCCAGTCTGGGGCTCTGACGCCCTCTTCTGGCTTCCACAGGCACTTCATACACATGGTGCACAGACATACATGCAGACAAATACCCATACACATAAAATAAAATTTAAAGGTGGGGGGGGAGAACAGGACAGAAATTTATTATTTAATTTTTTTAAAGAGAAAGAGATTTGCTGATCCGTTTTTCTATGGCAAAAGGGACAGTAGTGGAAAGTCCTTCACGCAGGAAAGTGTTTGGCACATCCGAGAACAAACACAGTGAAGCAGAGCAGAGGAGCAGGTGTGGGAAGGCAGTCAGAAGGAAGTCGAGGCAGCTCACGAGCCACGCAGGTCACAGTGGAAAAGATGGGCTGTCGCAGCGTCAGAGGACATGGCTTAGCTCACACATATCAAAAGGAACCTTCTAGACGCTGTGTTGAAATCAGAGCACGGATCAGTCTGGATAGAAGCAAGAAGACGGCGTGGAGGCAATAACTCGGGGCGACACGGGAAAGGCCACAGTGGCCACACTCTGAATATACTCCAGGGCTTCCTGATGAATTCGATTTGGGTGTGAGAGAAAGAAGAAAGCAAGACGACTGCTCCGAGATTCCGTCCTGGGTTTCTGGGAGGACCCAGTTGTCATCTTCTGAGAGAGACAATGCCACAGATAGCACAAGTTTGGGGGTTGAGATGAGTCATGTCGGAGATGATTCTAGACGTCCAAATGGAGCCGGCTGGCAGGAACAGTGACAGTGATAACAGTAATCACAGCTGCACACAAAGCGAGCTCTGGGTTGGGGGGCAGTGCAGTAGTGGGGTGCTTGCCTAGCAGGAGTAGAGCCCTGAGTTTCATCCCTACCACCACAATAATAATAATAATAATAATAGAAAAATGTAAAGCCATCATACTCACTGAGAGCCAGGCACTTCCCCAACACTCCACAAGTCTGAATCACTTAATTCTCATAACATTCCTATGATGTGGAACTGTCATTATCCCCTTTCACAGATGAGGAAATCTGCAAGTCCGGTGTTCAGTGGAGAGCCTGTACAGCGATATAAACATCAGTGTGTGGGTGACATAAATTCATCTGGCAGTGGGTGTGAAGGACCACAGGCTGAGGCCAGATTCTCCAAAGTTTAGAGAGTTGGGAGATAAGGAACACCAACCAGGAGAAAAATAAGAACAACCTCCAAGGAACAGGAGAAGACATTAGAGAACAGTATAAAAACCGCACACTGAACGGAGCATCCTGGGTGATTCCAGTGAGGGCTCAGGAGACAGAGTAGGGACCTAGTCTCATATATAAATGAGGTTCCACTGGAAATTGAACTTTTCCGTGTTATACCTCGGAAAACAATGTGAATGCAACCTGTCCACATCATATCCCAGCACTGGTGAGTCAGTGGCAGGAGGATCTCTGTGAGTTCAAGACCAGCCCCATCTACATGGCAAACTCCAGGACTTCGTAGAGAGAACTGTCTCCAAAAAAAAAAAAAAAATGTAACAATTAAAAAAAAAAAAAAAAGACTTTGTGGAAAGCTAAACTTAGAGATACCACAGTAGGTCACTGAGTGGAAACTTAAGAGAACACTCAGACTGTGGCATGAGTATTACTGGCTATTCTTAGATTTCCAATGAAATGAAAAGCGGGGTGAAAAGATTTAGAAGATTCACAGCTTGGCCAGGGCAAAAAGCAAAAAGCATGTTCAGGAGAGATTTCAAAGTAGGGATTGGCACAGGTAAGAGGATGCATGGGCTGCCTGGTGAGGTAGCAGGAAAGCCCTCAAGGGTGTCTCAGAACTCTTCCAGGCCCCCCTCTCCTCAGGCACCCACAGGCCAAAAGCCCACATTTGCTTCAAGGACTGAAGGCTAGTCAGGTGCACTGCCCAAGGCTGCTCCAGAACTCAGCTCTCCAGCCAATTACTCCATCAAACAAGCCCAGATGAGTTTCTATAGACAGCAAACCTCAGTAACCATGTTTTGTGGGCACACAAAGTATACAAGTGGTATCTCCCACTCAGGTTTCACAGGAAAACTGGAGAGGCCAAGCAGAAGTGTGCCAAGGTGTTGGCTTGAAGAATGACCAGTGGGGTGATATCTAGCAGAACCATGGGAATGGAACCATGATGACGACCCCAGAAAGGCAGTACTTCCAGGCACACCCGTACAGGAAAGCTACTCTTGACAGCACACCACAGTCCCTCCCCCAGACAGTTGTGATTTAGATAGTCACCAGCAAAGCCAGAGGAAGTTCAGCTCAGCGCCTTGGGGGTCAACCCCCTCATATAGTGTGCATAAGGTAACAGAGTTGGGGATTGAGGATGCAATGTGTGCCCTGCTGGATTTCAGTCTTGCATTAAGATGATCGTTGTTTACAGGGAGCCTGTCCTAGTTGGCTTTCTGTTACGGTGATAAAACACTGACCAAAAGCAACCTAGGGAGGAAAAGGTTTATTTGACTTACAGTCCATCACTGAGGGAAGGCAGGACAGGAACTCAAGGCAAGAACCAGGAAACAGGAGCTGAAGCAGACCATGGAGTAACACTGCGTACTGGTTTGCTCCTTCTGACTTGCTCAAATACCTTTCCTATACATCCCAGGCCTATCTGCTCAGAGGTAGCACATCCACAGTGATATGGACCCACCTACATCAATTAGCAATCAAGAAACTGTCCCACAGACACGCCCACAGGCCAATATGACTGAGACAATTCCTTAACTGAGGCTCCCTATTCCTAGGTGTGTCAAGTTGACAACCAAGGTCAGCCATCACAGAGTGTATGTATCTTGTGTCTGTCCTACCACTGTGTACTGGATGCTGTGGGATGTCTTTCTATGTGCTATGAATATATGTTGTTCCCATTGGTTAGTAAATAAAGCTGCATTGGTCTATGGCAGGGCAGGATGGAGCCAGGCGGGAAAATCCAAGAGAGACAGTGAGAGGAGAAAGGAGAGTGGGGGGGAGACATTGAACTGCCGTCCAAGGAGCAACATGTAATGGGACGCAGGTAAAGCCACGGAACACATGGCAATGCATAGATGAAAAGAAATGGGTTAATTTAAGATGAAAGAGCTAGCTAGCAAGAAGCCTGCCATAGGCCATACAGTTTGTAAATAATATAGGCCTCTGAGTGATTATTTTATAAGCGGCTACGGGACTGGGGTGGGGGGAGGGTGTCAGGTGGGACCAGAGAAACTTCTGCTACAATTGGAGGTAAATCAATTGGTTTGATTTTACAGGTTCAGAACTAAAAAGCATTTGCTTTGAGTCTCAGATGACCTTGAACTATGGACTCTGTTGATGCTAGAACAATTTAAGAATTGGGAGCTATTTGGTGAAATAACTTCCATATTTATTAGAAAGAGTATTAGGGATGAGATGGGGTTTTTTTCTCATCACTATGACACAGTCTCTGACAAAATCAACTTGAAGAGAGAAGAATTTATTCTGGCTCACAGTTAGGCTTTAGGGGTACAGAGCACAGCACATCGCAGCAGAGAAATCATAGCAGCAAGATGGTAGGCAACTGGTCATACCACATCCACAGTCAAGAAGCAGAGGGAGACGAAGGCTGGCATTCAGCTAGCTTCCACATTTTTGTGCGATCTAGAACGCCAACCCACGGGATAGTGCCTCCCACACATAGGCAGGTCTTCCCAGCTCATTAACCTAATCTAGATAATCCCTCACAGAAGCGTCCACAGATTTGTCTCTCCAGTAATTCTAGATCCTGTCAAGTCGACAGCATTACAGGGGACCTAGGACAGATGCTATGGTTCCAATATGGTTTGTCTCCTCCCAAATTCAAGTTGAAATTGAACCCCCACTGTGAGGTATGAAAAGGACAAAAACAATCCCACTCTAATGCTTAGAGATGCAAACTTTGGGAAGTGATCAGGATCAGATAGTGCTGGGCTGACCTGAGTTCAATCCCTGGGACTCACAAATCCTACAAGTGGTTTCCAGACCTACACACACACACACACACCTACACACACACACACACACACACACACACACACACACACACACACACACAAAACAAATAAAATTTAATTAAAAATTAAACAATGGGTTAGATAATGTCATCAGTGTGGAGCCCCTCCTCCATGATTTAATATTGGCATCTTAATAAGAAAATGGAGGCTAATAGACACACGCATGCATAAGCTGAGTACTCTGGACTGTCTGAGGGCCATCACCAGCTGCAGCCCCTTAACCTCAGACCTCCAGAGTCATCAGCCACAATAAAGTTCTTTATAATTCATCCAGTCAATGGTATTGTGTTACTGACAACAGAAAATCTACTAAAACAACCCAACTCTTCGCTCTGACATCACACTCACCTGCCTAAACTGTTCCTGTTTGTAGTCTGTTTCTTTGTTTTTTGTTTTTTTGACTACAGGGGGTTCCCTCACCTTGAACCAGGCTAGGCATGGGATATGATTACTCCAAATACTTGTCCTCATCTGGCCCAGGCCCAAAAGACAAGTAGGTTGCAGCTGCAGCTGGAGAGAGAAAGGGACTTTCTCTTAACCCTTAAGAGCCAGAATCTCAGAAGCCACTTTGGAGAGGAAAGCCAGATGCTGCCGACAGGCACAAGAGGGTCTTGGAGGTAAGGGTTAAACTACAGTTCAGAGCTGGGAGCCAGAGATTCATGCAAGAGCCCGGCTGAGGACTGGGGTTGGGACCTGAGACTCAGCCTGTGGAATCTGGGACTAGGGCTTGGGTTTAAGGACAATGAAACGACAGTCTGGTTGTGAGGGTGGCCTCAAATAGTGGCCCTCAGGACACTGAAAAGGCTCAAGGAAGGAAGAGCAGGACTGAAGTCTGAGTCCTCTATGCACCTAAACAAGGAGGCCACAGGAAGCCTGGCACACAAAACAGAGCACCCTCAGGAGAGCAGAGGAAACAACCCAGAGGTAGGAAGCATCCAGGAAAGGTGGAGGCCTGGGAAGGAAGCCCTTGAAGGGACAGGAAACAGGCCTAAAATCATCCTGTGTCAGAGCTGGAGAGTTTCTCTGTGCACGAGTCAGGGGTGACCCAATCATGATCCTCAGCAGCCAGGACAGTGAAACACTCCACATCAAAAAGACCCTGCAGAAAGGAGGGCCTGGTGTCCCACATCTGTGATCTGAACTCGCGGGAGATGGAAGCAGGGAGATCAGAATACCCAGGTCATCCTTAGCTGCTAATGAAGTTCAAGACCCTCTGGGACCCTGTCTCAAAACAAAAGTTAATACACATTTGACATTGAAAGGCTCTGCTGCGTTACCGCTGGAAAGAAAATCCTACTAGTTTCTCAAGTTGATTCTTTTTGTTTTGTTTCAAGGGGTTTTAGTTACATCTGTTGGGGGTCATGCCACAGTGCATGTGTGGAGGTCAAAGAACAACATGTAGGAATTGGTTTCCTCTTTCTACTGGATGGGTTCTGAACTCAGGTCATCAGGCTTGATAGCAATCGCCTTGACGCACTAAATCATTTTGCAGGCCCTGGTTTTATTTATTTATTTATTTATTTATTTATTTATTTATTTATTTATTTATTTATTTATTTGGTTTTGGTTTTGGTTTTTCGAAACAGGGTTTCTCTGTGTAGCTTTGCACCTTTCCTGGATCTCACTCTGTAGCTCAGGCTGGCCTTGAACTCACAAAGATCTGCCTCCCTCTGCCTCCCTCTGCCTCCCTCTGCCTCCCGAGTGCTGGGATTAAAGGCGTATGCCACCACCACCGCCCAGCTGTTTTTATTTTTAATTATTGTATGTTTGTGCGGGATGGAGGGCGCACACATATCACAGCATGCATGTGGCACTCAGAGGAACTTTCTGGAGTCAGCTATCTCCTTTCATCTTTTCCGTGGGCTCCAGGGATCAAACTCAGCTCTCTAGGCTGGCTAGGCAAACTTTTTGCACAACTGAACCATCTAACTAGTACAGTTTCCTTTGAGGAAAATCATATGTATGACACCTACCAACATCCAAATAAGTAGATTTTGCTGGCTGAGCCTCCAATTCTACTTCCCTGGAAACTGAAGTTCTAAGAAGAGGGGTCTGAGGAGAGAGACAGAACTCAGACAAACCCCAGGGAAACTGTCTTCGGAGAACAAGAGAGAGGGTGGAATACAGGAACACAGAATACGAGCTTGGCACCAGCTAGCGTCTCACTGCCCTCGTGTGTATCAAGTGTATGGATAGACCAACAGAGGCCGGGAGGCCTCACAGACTGACAGAGACTGACAGGAGGCCATGACTCCTCTTTCATAGGGTTCTCTATGGGCCCCAGTTTGGCCCAGACTGGTGCCTCAACGAGTTATACAACTTCTTAAACCAGGTCTTTCTCCTCTACCAGGTCTCCATCCTCCTCCTCACTGGGCCCAATTTCTACTGACCACCCACCCCTCTGCCTTTTTTTTTCTTTTCTTTTCTTTTCTTTTTTTTTTTTT